GGGTACAACTCATTCATGTTTCCACTAAGTTATTCCTTGAAGTTATATGCATTGTTGTTTTAATGCCAACGAATGGTGTTTGTATTGAGCAATGCTATTGAAATTTAATTTATTAAATTAACTTACTAAATTTACTATGATCTTTTGATTGACTGTAAATCACATATTTTAGATCAAAATAACATTACTCGTCTGTATTTGATGATGCACAAATCAGTTTTGTGCACTACCGGTCAAGTGATTAGTAATAAATGCAGTAATTAAGTAGAGAGACAGTAAGGAGAAGCACAATGTAGAGTGGTTCGGTCAACATGACTTACATTCACTATGAAAAGCTAGGGTCACCTAGGTATTTTATTACTTCGAGGAGTGAAGAGAGAGCAAGGAGATACAAGCAACTAGAGGGATGAGAATAATAGCATATGTGTTCAATTATGTGTGATGTCCCCCAAGTATTGGCGGGGCTTATAATTTATAATCGTCTCTTAATAGATTGAGACGACTTATCAGTAACTAAGTGGCTAATCTGGTGGAGTTGGCGTCATCTTCTCAACGGATGAGGCAGTTATAGCGCTCTCCATAGTATCCGGTCAAAGGATGACATGGTGGTTGACTTTTTTCAAGGCGACGTGGATGAGGCTCTTGGAATGACCCTACTTTTCTTTGTGATGTAGCTCCTCGAACCCTGATAAGTTTAACTGGGCGTGGACCCTTTTTGGGCTAAACCCTAGATCACTTCAAATTGGGCTATTTATTTAAAGTAGACTTATAACATGGATTGGGCCTTTAGGCCTAACCCATCATTTTCCTCCAATGCCTTGTGTCAAATGAAACTGGAAGAAGAGGGCATTTAGTTGAGCTTAGATTTCGGTTGAAACTAAAGCTGAAAAAATTTTAGAAGGCCCAAACACATGTTTCCAGGCCTTTTTTTAGGCTTTTTACGGTGTCAGTCATAGCCAAAGGCAATAAGTCTTGTAGGGCTCATCGAGAGCTTTAATTTGATAAATTACGGACCCTGTTTGAAAAAAGATATCAAAAGTTATGGTCAAAATAGTATCAACCCTTCTTTGACTAGGATTTTCTTTCCCGTTCTTGATATACTTTATCTTGCTAGGAGTTGTTAGAACTTTTCCCCATTCTAATAGGATTTAAGAACCTAGGCTATAAATAGGGAGTTCTTTCTTGAGATACTTGAGAACCCAGGGCTAGAGATTTTGTTCCTGAGATGAGTTCTCAGAAATCAATGTTAAACGAAGGAGGAGAACCCATTGATATCCATGGCAATGGACTGATCGACATTGAGGGAGGCAATTAGAAACTTTGTGTAGTGGTGACCGAAAGAGGGTGTACCGGAGTACAATCTCAGGAGGACATTGGCCAAGCTAGTGTCACCGAAAAGCAGCATAGGCAAACCCCTATAGGCGTTGTTGAAGGCAGGGTGCCATGGGCACCACTGGTTAGAGGTCGAACGGAATACAAGGGAGGCACTGAAGGCGAGGTGATGCTCTAAGGGACTGAGGTGTTGCGTCTAGGCTACGGGCATCATGGGCGTCGTTGAGCATGGTGGAGGCATTGATGGCATCGGCGGGCAAGCCCCCATAGGCACTTTTGAGGTCGGGGCGCCGGCATTCTTGAGCTAGGCGTTACGAGTGCCCTCTATCAAGGCACCATGGGCAACCTCAAGCGAGGTGCCATGGGCAACCTCAAGCGAGGCACCACAGGTGTCGTGTGGCGAGCTAGTGGGGTCCCAGTCTGGTAGGGCTGATTGTGGATCTAATCCAATGCTCCTTAGTGTTAGGCAAGAATTGACGGTCGTGAGGGAGGCGTCAATAGGTAATGGGCATAACCAGGTAGGCACACAGGCAGTTCTAATGGGTACTAGGCGCAGTCAGGTGGCATCGCATGTAGTTGGGTCCTTGTCATTGGGTGAAGTCAACTATGGTGGAGGAGGGCGCTAGGCATGGATCTTCAAGAGTGCCAGAGGAGAGCTCGCTGGGAACTTTTAGTGGTGCTAATTTTGGTAAAACGGCGGATGATCTGGCTCGTTCAAGTGGAGATTCACAGAGTCAAGTCTCCCCTGGTAGTGGCTCAAGCAATGTTTCACTTCGCCCTCGCCATAGTAAGCAGCGAGGAAAGGTAACCCTTGACGATGACGGATCTAAGGTAAGTACCATCTCTAGTAGTCTTAACATTGATGAGGATATTTGTGGATTGTCTCTACTTATAACATTCTTCCAACGGTACTGTGCCGTGGAGCTGACATGGGCGAGCGTGCTTATGATGACTCATCTAGAGACATTTCTATCTATGAGGAGGTGCTTAAGGCTGGGCTCAGGTTCCCAATGTCTTCTTCTATTTGTCGTATTCTGCATTGCTTTTCACTAGTGCTAGGGCGTTTGACGCCCAATGGTTGGAGAGTTTTGTTGAGGTTTCTGAAGCTGTGGAGAAAAGTGCATCATGAGGATACTTCTCCTGAAGAATTCTGTGCACAGCTTATACTTTGAATGAGACTTTTGCTCCCAATCGTAGTTGGTACTACTTTGCTCCAAGAAGAGGTAAATTGATCACCAGATTGCGCTCTAACTACCATAACTAGAAGACTAGCTTCATGTTTGTTGGCGGAGAGTGGGCTTCAGAGTCTGATAGAGCTTTGGTACCAATAAAATGGGTCATTCCTAATAGAATTGGTACGCCCACACTTACTCTCTTTCCTTCTCCTTTTTTGTAAATGTGTACTCACCACATCCTTTGCAGGCTCTCCTATGCTCTCGAAAGACTAAGAGTGGAAGTTACAGGCTGTAAGAGCTCACCCTGTAAAGGACTTTGGAGGTCTCATGCTCAAAGAGGGTGGAGCTAGAGGCTCTCCTACAGTCGGTGCTAGGNCCATTCCTAATAGAATTGGTACGCCCACACTTACTCTCTTTCCTGCTCCATTTTTGTAAATGTGTACTCACCACATCCCTTGCAGGTTCTCCTATGCTCTCGAAAGACTAAGAGTGGAAGTTACAGGCTGTAAGAGCTCACCCTGTAAAGGACTTTGGAGGTCTCATGCTCAAAGAGGGTGGAGCTAGAGGCTCTCCTACAGTCGGTGCTAGGGCTGGTGAACCTTCTCCGAGACCCAGCAGTTCCTCTTTGAAGTGAAAGGGTATGTTGATTCCCTTGTCTTCTCCTCCTTTACTTGGTTTTTATTAAGGTAACCCTTTTCTCCTTCTCCTGTGGACAAGACTATGATAGAGTCCAGTTATTCCACTAGGGGCACTCCTCCTTCTAAGGTGGCAAGAGTGAGTGATGCTTTGGTAGGCTCCTCTAAGATGACTCATACAATGGTGCCTCAGTCAGCGACTCCTTCAGATTTGATCGTCACTGCGGAGACTCGCCTTTCGACCACACCTGCTACCCCCCGTTCATCAACTCTTCCTATGGGAACTTCTACCGGAGCACCTACTCAGATTGGCTCCATGTTGGGTGATGTGCGAGTCATCTGGGAGTTACTTGGGAGGTTTGTGTTCCCGACAGACGTTAATGAGACTAGTGCCCGAGGCACCAAGGGTGTTATTGACACTTTTTTTAGAAGGTCTAGCTCGGTCTGTTTTCTCCCTTTATCCAGTCCNGAAAAGGAAAGGACTTTCAAGAGAGAGAGAGAGAGAGAGAGATACTTAGGTTGTAATTTTGTATTATGGCTGATTATATTTGCTTGAGATGATAAAACAGGAAGATATTTTATTGCAACAACAGCATATCATTATATTGGCGTCTTGCTTTGTATTTGGTGAAAATTTTAGTCCCACCTTCTAATTCATCGTATCTGACATTTTCTCTATTTCTCGAATCGTCAATGACAATTTTTGTCAGATTAAATGTGTTAATTATAATATAATTTTATTAAATTGTTCATAATAGATAGACATATCTTAAATAAAATTCTCACTATTTTTAAATTTTTATACGTATTAAAATTTTTAAAATTTGAGTCAATTAAAATTTAATTTGACCTAATTAAATTTTATTTTTTATATATTAAAATTTAAGTCTATTAAAAATTATAATTTTTTACGTATTAAAATTTGAGCCGATTAAAATTTTATTTGAGGCAAAATCCCATTAAATTTTAATTGGTCCAATTTTTGATATATAAAAAAATATAAAATTTAATTGACTCAAATTTTAATAAGTAAAAAAAAAAATTTAATCAACTTGAATCAATTTTAATAAATAAAAATATAAATGTTAATTGATTAGAAGTGAATTTTAATCGGGATTAACAGTTCAAGTAGATCTTAAATTGACTCGAATTTTAATACATAAAAAATAAAATTTAATTAGCTCCAATCAAATTTTAATCGACTTACATTTTAATATGTAGAAAAAAAAATTAGTAAGCTCAAATTTTAATATATAGAAAAATAAATTTTAATCAACTCAGATTTTAATCAAATTTTATATAAAAAGATTGTTTGGAGTTTATATAAGGGCAATTTTGGTATTTTAGATAATTTAATTATTTTATAAATAGTAGTTTAATAGTAGAGAGTGTCAATGATGTTTAAATATAAACTAGAAAGGTTTTAGTGATATTTTTAATAATAAAAAGAGTGTTATTAAAAGATGCTAAACTAAAAAGACTATAATCGAAATTTTTCCAAAATGTTAAAAGCGAAAGAGACATTGCAACTTGTAAGAGACACTTTTTTCGGTTTGTCAACCCATTCTCGTCAAAAGCTTCATTCAACTTTGTTTATGTCATGCAACCATTTTTACCTGGTCTTAAAGTCATGCCACTGGAAATAGGAAAAGCCAAATCAAAATGGAACTTCAGGTGTCTTTCAATGTTGTTCTTTTGTCATAATAAATTATATGTAAAATGGTAATAAAAAACACAAAATGATCCAGAAAAGCACCCAAAGGATACATTAATCTAGGATAATGTTTGACTTTATATTGGTGTATTGGCTCTAGTTTTGCAGGTATTGCCAACCTAACCATGTTTGGTGACTCATTCACACAATCTGACAATCTATGTCATTTCAAAAAGAATAAAACTAATCTACATTCGAGAACCCTAACTTTCAAACCTTGTATCGTTATAAATCATCCATAAGGTCAATGAAATTAAATAAATCATTATCCATTATATTAAGCCTTTTGAGAGAGGCTTCAAGGATTTTTTTTTTTTAATTACGATAAAAAATGTTCGAATTAATTTACATATATCTCGATTAATCTCATTCTTGGTCCGATCAAAGACAGGTCAACCACAATGAGACTAGAGAATTCATGTGAAATAAATATCTCATAATCAGTTCTCAATGAAATTACCAAATTGCAAACTTAGAATGTCCGGGTACAACTCATTCATGTTTCCACTAAGTTATTCCTTGAAGTTATATGCATTGTTGTTTTAATGCCAACGAATGGTGTTTGTATTGAGCAATGCTATTGAAATTTAATTTATTAAATTAACTTACTAAATTTATTATGATCTTTTGATTGACTGTAAATCACATATTTTAGATCAAAATAACATTACTCGTCTGTATTTGATGATGCACAAATCAGTTTTGTGCACTACCGGTCAAGTGATTAGTAATAAATGCAGTAATTAAGTAGAGAGACAGTAAGGAGAAGCACAATGTAGAGTGGTTCGGTCAACATGACTTACATTCACTATGAAAAGCTAGGGTCACCTAGGTATTTTATTACTTCGAGGAGTGAAGAGAGAGCAAGGAGATACAAGCAACTAGAGGGATGAGAATAATAGCATATGTGTTCAATTATGTGTGATGCCCCCCAAGTATTGGCGGGGCTTATAATTTATAATCGTCTCTTAATAGATTGAGACGACTTATCAGTAACTAAGTGGCTAATCTGGTAGAGTTGGCGTCATCTTCTCAACGGATGAGGCAGTTATAGCGCTCTCCATAGTATTCGGTCAAAGGATGACATGGTGGTTGACTTTTTTCAAGGCGACGTGGATGAGGCTCTTGGAATGATCCTACTTTTCTTTGTGATGTAGCTCCTTGAACCCTGATAAGTTTAACTGGGGCGTGGACCCTTTTTGGGCGAAACCCTAGATCACTTCAAATTGGGCTATTTATTTAAAGTAGACTTATAACATGGGTTGGGCCTTTAGGCCTAACCCATCATTTTCCTCCAATGCCTTGTGTCAAATGAAACTGGAAGAAGAGGACATTCAGTTGAGCTTAGATTTCGGCTGAAACTAAAGCTGAAAAAATTTTAGAAGGCCCAAACACATGTTTCCAGGCCTTTTTTTAGGCTTTTTACGGTGTCAGTCATAGCCAAAGGCAATAAGTCTTGTAGGGCTCATCGAGAGCTTTAATTTGATAAATTACGGACCCTGTTTGAAAAAAGATATCAAAAGTTATGGTCAAAATAGTCTCAACCCTTCTTTGACTAGGATTTTATTTCCCGTTCTTGATATACTTTATCTTGCTAGGAGTTGTTAGAACTTTTCCCCATTCTAATAGGATTTAAGAACCTAGGCTATAAATAGGGAGTTCTTTCTTGAGATACTTGAGAACCCAGGGCTAGAGATTTTGTTCCTGAGATGAGATCTCAGAAATCAATGTTAAACGAAGGAGGAGAACCCATTGATATCCATGGCAATGGACTGATCGACATTGAGGGAGGCAATTAGAAACTTTGTGTAGTGGTGACCGAAAGAGGGTGTACCGGAGTACAATCTCAGGAGGACATTGGCCAAGCTAGTGTCACCGAAAAGCTGCATAGGCAAACCCCTATAGGCGTTGTTGAAGGCAGGGTGCCATGGGCACCACTGGTTAGAGGTCGAACTGAATACAAGGGAGGCACTGAAGGCGAGGTGCTGCTCTAAGGGACTGAGGTGTTGCGTCTAGGCTACGGGCATCATGGGCGTCGTTGAGCATGGTGGAGGCACTGATAGCATCGGCGGGCAAGCCCCCATAGGCACTTTTGAGGCCGGGGCGCCTGGCATTCTTGAGCTAGGCTCTACGAGCGCCCTCTATCAAGGCACCATGGGCAACCTCAAGCGAGGTGCCAAGGGCAACCTCAAATGAGGCACCACAGGTGTCGTGTGGCGAGCTAGTGGGGTCCCAGTCTGGTAGGGCTGATTGTGGATCTAATCCGATGCTCCTTAGTGTTAGGCAAGAATTGACGGTCGTGAGGGAGGCGTCGATAGGTACTGGGCATAACCAGGTAGGCACACAGGCAGTTCTAATGGGTACTAGGCGCAGTCAGGTGGCATCGCATGTAGTTGGGTCCTTGTCATTGGGTGAAGTCAACTATGGTGGAGGAGGGCGCTAGGCATGGATCTTCGAGAGTGCCAGAGGAGAGCTCGCTGGGAACTTTTAGTGGTGCTAATTTTGGTAAAACGGCGGATGATCTGGCTCATTCAAGTAGAGATTCACGGAGTCAAGTCTCTCCTGGTAGTGGCTCAAGCAATGTTTCACTTCGCCCTCGCCATAGTAAGCAGCGAAGAAAGGTAACCCTTGACGATGACGGATCTAAGGTAAGTACCATCTCTAGTACTCTTAACATTGATGAGGATATTTTGTGGATTGTCTCTACTTATAACATTCTTCCAACGGTACTGTGTCGTGGAGCTGATATGGGCGAGCGTGCTTATGATGACTCATCTAGAGACATTTCTATTTATGAGGAGGTGCTTAAGGCTAGGCTCAGGTTCCCAATGTCTTCTTCTATTTGTCGTATTCTGCATTGTTTTTCACTAGTGCTAGGGCGTTTGACGCCCAATGGTTGGAGAGTTTTGTTGAGGTTTCTGAAGCTGTGGAGAAAAGTGCATCATGAGGATACTTCTCCTGAAGAATTCTGTGCACAGCTTATACTTTGAATGAGACTTTTGCTCCCAATCGTAGTTGGTACTACTTTGCTCCAAGAGGAGGTAAATTGATCACCAGATTGCGCTCTAACTACCATAACTAGAAGACTAGCTTCATGTTTGTTGGCGGAGAGTGGGCTTCAGAGTCTGATAGAGCTTTGGTACCAATAAAATGGGCCATTCCTAATAGAATTGGTACGCCCACACTTACTCTCTTTCCTGCTCCATTTTTGTAAATGTGTACTCACCACATCCCTTGCAGGTTCTCCTATGCTCTCGAAAGACTAAGAGTGGAAGTTACAGGCTGTAAGAGCTCACCCTGTAAAGGACTTTGGAGGTCTCATGCTCAAAGAGGGTGGAGCTAGAGGCTCTCCTACAGTCGGTGCTAGGGCTGGTGAACCTTCTCCGAGACCCAGCAGTTCCTCTTTGAAGTGAAAGGGTATGTTGATTCCCTTGTCTTCTCCTCCTTTACTTGGTTTTTATTAAGGTAACCCTTTTCTCCTTCTCCTGTGGACAAGACTATGATAGAGTCCAGTTATTCCACTAGGGGCACTCCTCCTTCTAAGGTGGCAAGAGTGAGTGATGCTTTGGTAGGCTCCTCTAAGATGACTCATACAATGGTGCCTCAGTCAGCGACTCCTTCAGATTTGATCGTCACTGCGGAGACTCGCCTTTCGACCACACCTGCTACCCCCCGTTCATCAACTCTTCCTATGGGAACTTCTACCGGAGCACCTACTCAGATTGGCTCCATGTTGGGTGATGTGCGAGTCATCTGGGAGTTACTTGGGAGGTTTGTGTTCCCGACAGACGTTAATGAGACTAGTGCCCGAGGCACCAAGGGTGTTATTGACACTTTTTTAGAAGGTCTAGCTCGGTCTGTTTTCTCCCTTTATCCAGTCCCTCCTTAAGCACTAACATTCTTTTGCCTTCCCTAGGTTTCAACTGCCTCTGTATGTTTTTTTTCAATAGCTTTTTATTATAGCCAACTGAAGCGGAGTCATGAGGCTGTGCAAAAAGAGTTTTTTATTGCTCAGGGGAGGATTGTTGAGCTTGAAACTAATGGTAAGGCTTCCCAGGCTGAGCTTGTGGTGACCCATGAGAGGGTCGCGCTCAAAGAGGCTACTTGTGCGAGCGCTAAAGCAGAGCTTTTGGCAACCCGCGAGAAGGTGGCTAAGCTTGAGGCTAAGCTTTTGACGACCCGTGAGAGGGATGTGCTCAAGAGGTTGAGCTTGTGGCAACTAGCAAGAGGGGTGCGCTCAGAGAGGCTGCTTGCTTGAGAGCAAGGGCAGAGCTGAAAGCAGCTCACGAAAGGGCTTTTCGGGCTGAGGCGGATCTATTTTTGGCTCGTGAAAAGGGCATCAAGGTTGAGGGTGATTTAGAGAGTGGCCTTGTAGATACTTTCATTGACGATTACGAGGAGTTTCAAGAAAAAATTTCTGTTATTTTTCCTGATATCGATCTTTCAGACTTCGTGCCATATGAGGCGCCTGCTGATGGTGNTAGTAAGCTCAAATTTTAATATATAGAAAAATAAATTTTAATCAACTCAGATTTTAATCAAATTTTATATAAAAAAATTGTTTGGAGTTTATATAAGGGTAATTTTGGTATTTTAGATAATTTAATTTTTTTATAAATGGTAGTTTAATAGCAGAGAGTGTCAATGATATTTAAATATAAACTAGAAAGGTTTTAGTGATATTTTTAATAATAAAAAGAGTGTTATTAAAAATATGCTAAACTAAAAAGACTATAATCGAAATTTTTCCAAAATGTTAAAGCAAAAGAGACATTGCAATTTGTAAGAGACACTTTTTTCGGTTTGTCAACCCATTCTCGTCAAAAGCTTCATTCAACTTTGTTTATGTCATGCAACCATTTTTACCTGGTCTTAAAGTCATGCCACTGGAAATAGGAAAAGTCAAATCAAAATGGAACTTCAGGTGTCTTTCAATGTTGTTCTTTTGTCATAATAAATTATATGTAAAATGGTAATAAAAAACACAAAATGATCCAGAAAAGCACCCAAAGGATACATTAATCTAGGATAATGTTTGACTTTATATTGGTGTATTGGCTCTAGTTTTGCAGGTATTGCCAACCTAGTCATGTTTGGTGACTCATTCACACAATCTGACAATCTATGTCATTTCAAAAAGAATAAAACTAATCTACATTCGAGAACCCTAACTTTCAAACCTTGTATCGTTATGAATCATCCATAAGGTCAATGAAATTAAATAAATCATTATCCATTATATTAAGCCTTTTGAGAAAGGCTTCAAGGATTTTTTTTTTTTTTTGTAATTATGATAAAAAATGTTCGAATTAATTTACATATATCTCGATTAATCTCATTCTTGGTCCGATCAAAGACAGGTCAACCACAATGAGACTAGAGAATTCATGTGAAATAAATATCTCATAATCAGTTCTCAATGAAATTACCAAATTGCAAACTTAGAATGTCCGGGTACAACTCATTCATGTTTCCACTAAGTTATTCCTTGAAGTTATATGCATTGTTGTTTTAATGCCAACGAATGGTGTTTGTATTGAGCAATGCTATTGAAATTTAATTTATTAAATTAACTTACTAAATTTACTATGATCTTTTGATTGACTGTAAATCACATATTTTAGATCAAAATAACATTACTCGTCTGTATTTGATGATGCACAAATCAGTTTTGTGCACTACCGGTCAAGTGATTAGTAATAAATGCAGTAATTAAGTAGAGAGACAGTAAGGAGAAGCACAATGTAGAGTGGTTCGGTCAACATGACTTACATTCACTATGAAAAGCTAGGGTCACCTAGGTATTTTATTACTTCGAGGAGTGAAGAGAGAGCAAGGAGATACAAGCAACTAGAGGGATGAGAATAATAGCATATGTGTTCAATTATGTGTGATGTCCCCCAAGTATTGGCGGGGCTTATAATTTATAATCGTCTCTTAATAGATTGAGACGACTTATCAGTAACTAAGTGGCTAATCTGGTGGAGTTGGCGTCATCTTCTCAACGGATGAGGCAGTTATAGCGCTCTCCATAGTATCCGGTCAAAGGATGACATGGTGGTTGACTTTTTTCAAGGCGACGTGGATGAGGCTCTTGGAATGATCCTACTTTTCTTTGTGATGTAGCTCCTTGAACCCTGATAAGTTTAACTGGGGCGTGGACCCTTTTTGGGCGAAACCCTAGATCACTTCAAATTGGGTTATTTATTTAAAGTAGACTTATAACATGGGTTGGGCCTTTAGGCCTAACCCATCATTTTCCTCCAATGCCTTGTGTCAAATGAAACTGGAAGAAGAGGACATTCAGTTGAGCTTAGATTTCGGCTGAAACTAAAGCTGAAAAAATTTTAGAAGGCCCAAACACATGTTTCCAGGCCTTTTTTTAGGCTTTTTACGGTGTCAGTCATAGCCAAAGGCAATAAGTCTTGTAGGGCTCATCGAGAGCTTTAATTTGATAAATTACGGACCCTGTTTGAAAAAAGATATCAAAAGTTATGGTCAAAATAGTCTCAACCCTTCTTTGACTAGGATTTTATTTCCCGTTCTTGATATACTTTATCTTGCTAGGAGTTGTTAGAACTTTTCCCCATTCTAATAGGATTTAAGAACCTAGGCTATAAATAGGGAGTTCTTTCTTGAGATACTTGAGAACCCAGGGCTAGAGATTTTGTTCCTGAGATGAGTTCTCAGAAATCAATGTTAAACGAAGGAGGAGAACCCATTGATATCCATGGCAATGGACTGATCGACATTGAGGGAGGCAATTAGAAACTTTGTGTAGTGGTGACCGAAAGAGGGTGTACCGGAGTACAATCTCAGGAGGACATTGGCCAAGCTAGTGTCACCGAAAAGCAGCATAGGCAAACCCCTATAGGCGTTGTTGAAGGCAGGGTGCCATGGGCACCACTGGTTAGAGGTCGAACGGAATACAAGGGAGGCACTGAAGGCGAGGTGCTGCTCTAAGGGACTGAGGTGTTGCGTCTAGGCTACGGGCATCATGGGCGTCGTTGAGCATGGTGGAGGCATTGATGGCATCGGCGGGCAAGCCCCCATAGGCACTTTTGAGGTCGGGGCGCCGGCATTCTTGAGCTAGGCGTTACGAGTGCCCTCTATCAAGGCACCATGGGCAACCTCAAGCGAGGTGCCATGGGCAACCTCAAGCGAGGCACCACAGGTGTCGTGTGGCGAGCTAGTGGGGTCCCAGTCTGGTAGGGCTGATTGTGGATCTAATCCAATGCTCCTTAGTGTTAGGCAAGAATTGACGGTCGTGAGGGAGGCGTCAATAGGTAATGGGCATAACCAGGTAGGCACACAGGCAGTTCTAATGGGTACTAGGCGCAGTCAGGTGGCATCGCATGTAGTTGGGTCCTTGTCATTGGGTGAAGTCAACTATGGTGGAGGAGGGCGCTAGGCATGGATCTTCAAGAGTGCCAGAGGAGAGCTCGCTGGGAACTTTTAGTGGTGCTAATTTTGGTAAAACGGCGGATGATCTGGCTCGTTCAAGTGGAGATTCACAGAGTCAAGTCTCCCCTGGTAGTGGCTCAAGCAATGTTTCACTTCGCCCTCGCCATAGTAAGCAGCGAGGAAAGGTAACCCTTGACGATGACGGATCTAAGGTAAGTACCATCTCTAGTAGTCTTAACATTGATGAGGATATTTGTGGATTGTCTCTACTTATAACATTCTTCCAACGGTACTGTGCCGTGGAGCTGACATGGGCGAGCGTGCTTATGATGACTCATCTAGAGACATTTCTATCTATGAGGAGGTGCTTAAGGCTGGGCTCAGGTTCCCAATGTCTTCTTCTATTTGTCGTATTCTGCATTGCTTTTCACTAGTGCTAGGGCGTTTGACGCCCAATGGTTGGAGAGTTTTGTTGAGGTTTCTGAAGCTGTGGAGAAAAGTGCATCATGAGGATACTTCTCCTGAAGAATTCTGTGCACAGCTTATACTTTGAATGAGACTTTTGCTCCCAATCGTAGTTGGTACTACTTTGCTCCAAGAAGAGGTAAATTGATCACCAGATTGCGCTCTAACTACCATAACTAGAAGACTAGCTTCATGTTTGTTGGCGGAGAGTGGGCTTCAGAGTCTGATAGAGCTTTGGTACCAATAAAATGGGTCATTCCTAATAGAATTGGTACGCCCACACTTACTCTCTTTCCTGCTCCTTTTTTGTAAATGTGTACTCACCACATCCTTTGCAGGCTCTCCTATGCTCTCGAAAGACTAAGAGTGGAAGTTACAGGCTGTAAGAGCTCACCCTGTAAAGGACTTTGGAGGTCTCATGCTCAAAGAGGGTGGAGCTAGAGGCTCTCCTACAGTCGGTGCTAGGGCTGGTGAACCTTCTCCGAGACCCAGCAGTTCCTCTTTGAAGTGAAATGGTACGTTGATTCCCTCGTCTTCTCCTCCTTTACTCGGTTTTTATTAAGGTAACCCTTTTCTCCTTCTCCGGTGGACAAGACTATGATAGAGTCCAGTTATTCCACTAGGGGCACTCCTCCTTCTAAGGTGGCAAGAGTGAGTGATGCTTTGGTAGGCTCCTCTAAGATGACTCATACAATGGTGCCTCAGTCAGCGACTCCTTCAGATGTGATCGTCACTGCGGAGACTCGCCTTTCGACCACACCTGCTACCCCCCGTTCATCAACTCTTCCTATGGGAACTTCTACCGGAGCACCTACTCAGATTGGCTCCATGTTGGGTGATGTGCGAGTCATCTGGGAGTTACTTGGGAGGTTTGTGTTCCCGACAGACGTTAATGAGACTAGTGCCCGAGGCACCAAGGGTGTTATTGACACTTTTTTAGAAGGTCTAGCTCGGTCTGTTTTCTCCCTTTATCCAGTCCCTCCTTAAGCACTAACATTCTTTTGCCTTCCCCAGGTTTCAACTACCTCTGTATGTTTTTTTTCAATAGCTTTTTATTATAGCCAACTGAAGCGGAGTCATGAGGCTGTGCAAAAAGAGTTTTTTATTGCTCAGGGGAGGATTGTTGAGCTTGAAACTAATGGTAAGGCTTCCCAGGCTGAGCTTGTGGTGACCCATGAGAGGGTCGCGCTCAAAGAGGCTACTTGTGCGAGCGCTAAAGCAGAGCTTTTGGCAACCCGCGAGAAGGTGGCTAAGCTTGAGGCTAAGCTTTTGACGACCCGTGAGAGGGATGTGCTCAAGAGGTTGAGCTTGTGGCAACTAGCAAGAGGGGTGCGCTCAGAGAGGCTGCTTGCTTGAGAGCAAGGGTAGAGCTGAAAGCAGCTCACGAAAGGGCTTTTCGGGCTGAGGCGAATCTATTTTTGGCTCGTGAAAAGACCATCAAGGTTGAGGGTGATTCAGAGAGTGACCTTGTAGATACTTTCATTGACGGTTACGAGGAGTTTCAAGAAAAAATTTATGTTGTTTTTCCTGATATCGATCTTTCAGACTTCGTGCCATATGAGGCGCCTGCTGATGGTGATGGTGGCTCTGACGATGCAGAGGGTGAGGAAGAGGAGGAGCACGACCATAAAAACAGTTAGAGTGGGGACTTTTGATTTTTTTTATTTTTTTTTTGTAGAAAGACAGCGTGTAGCCTCACTTTTGTAAAAGTGATTTTTTTTTTTTGCCACTGATGTTCCTTTGAAATGGAATGCCAAAATGCAAAGATATTTTGGAGTAAATTTAGAAAGTTTGATTCGATGACTGCTCATGCTAAGCAATGGTGGGTAATAACCCAAAAGAGTTACAATAAAATCAAGTTCCTCAGCTTTACTACTTCTACTCTCCTAAAGTGTCATTGGTAATACCTTTTCAGATGTTCAACATTCCAGGGATGAGGTAAAATCTTTACTTCAGAATTCTGGATCTTGTAGGTGCCTAACATTACTACTTCTGTTATGAGGTAGGGTCCTCCCCATTTTGGTCCAAGCTTTCCTTCTCGCGGATCCTTCGTGGCGATAATCACTTTCTTGAGAACTAAATCTCCTAGTTATAAGGAACAAAGCTTCACCCTTGAGTTGTAGTACCTCGCCATGCGGCGCTTGTACTCTACATTGCAGACCATAACCATTTCCCTTACCTCATCCACCAAGTAAAGGTTGACGCATAATTCTTCCTTGTTGGTGATAGGGTCATGGTGTTGGACCCTTTGAGAATGTATCCCGATCTCCACGAGGTTTTCCTCAAGTTCAGTCCCCCTTAAATATTAATTTCATAACCTAAACACTTTTAAACTTAATTCTCAAACCCAATTTTTTTTAAAAAAATATCATTTGAAATGACGCCTTCTCGCTTGAAAACATCATTTAAAATGACAATTTCAACATGAATTTTTTTTTCTAAAATGTCATTAAGAATGACATTTTTAAAGTTGTCATTCTTCGTGACGATTTGTTACAAGAATTTTAAATGGACCATATCTGGCTACTCCTATTTAAATTAATTTCAAACCACTTATTCAGACCACATCATCCTTCTCCTTCTCCTCCTCCTCCTCAACCACTCTCAGCAAGAGAAGACTCCGGCGAGCTCCATCCATNCTATGATCTTTTGATTGACTGTAAATCACATATTTTAGATCAAAATAACATTACTCGTCTGTATTTGATGATGCACAAATCAGTTTTGTGCACTACCGGTCAAGTGANAGACTTCAACAAAGCCACCCCAGCGACCACAGCCTCTACCAGCGAACACATCCAACACTAGCGACCACAGCCTCCACCAGCGACTTCCACCCGAGAGCAAAGCCTCCACCAGCGTGCACAGTGCTCCACCAGCGACTTCAACAAAGAGACTGACCACATCCTCCACCACCGACTGAGCAGTGAGTACATTCCTCATTCTCCATATTTGCCCTAAATATTTTTTACCCAAAATCAATTTTTGCCATAAATCGATTTAATTGATGCTAATCCGGCGCTTAACCCCTCCAATCAAACCCTAGCGCAACTCAAACCATAGAACAGTCATTAAAACCTGTTCTTTGTTCCAGATTCTGCTAANAGAGTTGGCGTCATCTTCTCAACGGATGAGGCAGTTATAGCGCTCTCCATAGTATTCGGTCAAAGGATGACATGGTGGTTGACTTTTTTCAAGGCGACGTGGATGAGGCTCTTGGAATGATCCTACTTTTCTTTGTGATGTAGCTCCTTGAACCCTGATAAGTTTAACTGGGGCGTGGACCCTTTTTGGGCGAAACCCTAGATCACTTCAAATTGGGTTATTTATTTAAAGTAGACTTATAACATGGGTTGGGCCTTTAGGCCTAACCCATCATTTTCCTCCAATGCCTTGTGTCAAATGAAACTGGAAGAAGAGGACATTCAGTTGAGCTTAGATTTCGGCTGAAACTAAAGCTGAAAAAATTTTAGAAGGCCCAAACACATGTTTCCAGGCCTTTTTTTAGGCTTTTTACGGTGTCAGTCATAGCCAAAGGCAATAAGTCTTGTAGGGCTCATCGAGAGCTTTAATTTGATAAATTACGGACCCTGTTTGAAAAAAGATATCAAAAGTTATGGTCAAAATAGTCTCAACCCTTCTTTGACTAGGATTTTATTTCCCGTTCTTGATATACTTTATCTTGCTAGGAGTTGTTAGAACTTTTCCCCATTCTAATAGGATTTAAGAACCTAGGCTATAAATAGGGAGTTCTTTCTTGAGATACTTGAGAACCCAGGGCTAGAGATTTTGTTCCTGAGATGAGTTCTCAGAAATCAATGTTAAACGAAGGAGGAGAACCCATTGATATCCATGGCAATGGACTGATCGACATTGAGGGAGGCAATTAGAAACTTTGTGTAGTGGTGACCGAAAGAGGGTGTACCGGAGTACAATCTCAGGAGGACATTGGCCAAGCTAGTGTCACCGAAAAGCTGCATAGGCAAACCCCTATAGGCGTTGTTGAAGGCAGGGTGCCATGGGCACCACTGGTTAGAGGTCGAACGGAATACAAGGGAGGCACTGAAGGCGAGGTGATGCTCTAAGGGACTGAGGTGTTGCGTCTAGGCTACGGGCATCATGGGCGTCGTTGAGCATGGTGGAGGCATTGATGGCATCGGCGGGCAAGCCCCCATAGGCACTTTTGAGGCCGGGGCGCCTGGCATTCTTGAGCTAGGCTCTACGAGCGCCCTCTATCAAGGCACCATGGGCAACCTCAAGCGAGGTGCCAAGGGCAACCTCAAATGAGGCACCACAGGTGTCGTGTGGCGAGCTAGTGGGGTCCCAGTCTGGTAGGGCTGATTGTGGATCTAATCCGATGCTCCTTAGTGTTAGGCAAGAATTGACGGTCGTGAGGGAGGCGTCGATAGGTACTGGGCATAACCAGGCAGGCACACAGGCAGTTCTAATGGGTACTAGGCGCAGTCAGGTGGCATCGCATGTAGTTGGGTCCTTGTCATTGGGTGAAGTCAAGTATGGTGGAGGAGGGCGCTAGGCATGGATCTTCGAGAGTGCCAGAGGAGAGCTCGCTGGGAACTTTTAGTGGTGCTAATTTTGGTAAAACGGCGGATGATCTGGCTCGTTCAAGTGGAGATTCACAGAGTCAAGTCTCCCCTGGTAGTGGCTCAAGCAATGTTTCACTTCGCCCTCGCCATAGTAAGCAGCGAGGAAAGGTAACCCTTGACGATGACGGATCTAAGGTAAGTACCATCTCTAGTAGTCTTAACATTGATGAGGATATTTGTGGATTGTCTCTACTTATAACATTCTTCCAACGGTACTGTGCCGTGGAGCTGACATGGGCGAGCGTGCTTATGATGACTNGTAGGGTACTCTGAAGTGGCAAACCAGGTTCTTGCAGATAAAGTTCTTGACCTTTGTGTTTGTTATCTTCGCTAAGGGCTTGACCTCCGCCCACTTAGTGAAGTAATCGATGGCTACCACCACAAACTTTCACTATCCCTTGCTCGTAGGTAGAGAGCCCAAGATGTCAATGCCACATTTGAAAAAGGGTCATGGACTTGTGATGGTTGTTAGTTCTTCTAGTGGCTGTCCCAGCATCGTGGCGAAGCGCTAGCACTTGTCGCATTTCTTAGTGTACTTTTGGGCGTCTCTGACCATGCTAGGCCAAAATTAGCCCTACCTGAGTGCCTTGTGAGCTTGGGAGCGACCTCTAGAGTGGTTTTACAAACTCCTTCATGGATTTCCCGTAGGGCGTAATTAGCTTCATCTAGGGAGAGGCATCATAGCAAAGGCAAGAAATAGTCTTTCTTGTATATGACGCCATGTAGGATAGTGAACTTGGAGGCTCTCATCCTGAGCTTCTTGGCTTCCAATAGGTCATCTGGAAATGCGCCTTCTTGGAGAGATGCCCTTATTGGGGTCATCTAGTTTGATTTGACAGATACATGGTTAACGCTAATGGCATCCACGTCTAGTCTGCTTGGTTCGAGCCGGTGATTAATGAATGCTGGTCCTGGTAGGGCTTCCGAGGACGAGG